TTCTCATGGCGATGAGTTTATAATGTAATTTGAGTTGTTGTACACTAGTGTTAAGCTTTGAATTGATGAAAACTGAATAACAAATATGATTTACATCGAAATACATAATATTACATTTGATGATATGCAATTTTATTATTTATTCATTATTTCAGTCTATTATTTTAGAATTTATTTAAACAACTTTAAACATTGTTTCAGAATAATCATAATAATTATTATAATGTCTTTTGTGAAAATAATACAAAATTTGTTGAAAGATCTAAGGTTAATAGCTGATTTTATTCATGCATACATAATTAGTGAAAGATTTACTTACAATTTTCAATTATTCTAATAATCGAGTTAACAAGAATGATTTTACGCATTAAATATGTATGGATGGATACATGAAGAATTCCGGGTTAACATGATCGATCTCATTAATATAGTTTTAAATATTGAAATATCGATGTACAGAATGACTGAAATTTCTTAAGGTCAAACAATATTCTTATCTTGTACAATGATCATACACATAATTGTAAATAATAATAATAAAATGTAAAGAATATAAATAATTATTTGCATAGTGTAAAAATGAAAATTTTCAATGTTACAGATGAATGAAACATTGAATGCATTTTTTGTTATTTAAAAGGAAAATGTGAATTAGTCAACAGTTCTACTGTTGAATATCTCAGTCAATTGCAAATATTATCTTCATTGAAACTTTATTTACAAAATGTCAAACGAATCAATAATTCTAAGGGGGAGTTAAACAAGAAATTTTGTGCATAACGAATGCTTTAACAATGCGAATAATTTTAAGCTTATTTATTGTATTCAAAAAGAATTATAATATATTTCTATTTCTTAGTTTGTAATTTTATAAGTTGATTAAAAACACTTATTTATTGAATGGATAAATCACTTGTGTACATTTTATTTCCATTTATGATTATTCACTGACTAATGTGTAATTTTAGTCAACACTTGAAACTTTTGAAGATAAAGAAACATGAAATTGAACTTGTTTACTAATTGTTATAAATTTATCGTACATATTTACTCAATCATTTTAAAATTCTAACTCAGAAAACGTACAGTAATAAATAATTATTAATTACCTATTTTATATTTGAAAATGAGATTTTCTTGTTACTAACACTACTACCATTATTATTATTATTATCCTGTAACATCTCATCATTCATTCATTCATTCATTGTACTTTCGTTTAAATTATTCGATAATTGTATCGACAATAATTTCGTACTTTTAATAATTCGAATACTGTATCGATTATTGTATATTTGGTTGGGTGTGGATGCTTTATCGCTTATCACATGTCTAGCCTATCATTACTTGACTATAAATACTTAGTCACTCTTCAGTTCATGGACGGTTAGCTCACTACTAGACTTCAATCTGAACGAATGATCGAGTGTGCAATGAAATAAATATTCCTTTTCACTTCCATATATTATACTTAGACTAACCCTGTTTGTGCGACGGCGGTAGTAAGAAGCCAAATACGGCTTCGCCGATGAATTTATTTCATGCGTGTTCATTTATACAGACAAATACGAGAAGGAAAGCGCACAACCGAAACGAAGAGGGAGAAGGCGAGTGAGCCAACTGTCCATGAGCTGGAGAGTGATTAAGTATTTATAGTCAGGCAATAATAGGCTAGATAAAGCATCCACACCCAACCAAATATACAATAATCGATACAGTATTCGAATTATTACAAATGCAAAATTATTGTTGATACAATTATCGAATAATTCAAACGAAAGTACAGTGAATGAACGATGAGATGCTACAATTCAATAATAGATTATGTCGTGTAGTACGTGTGCAGTACAATTATGAGTTAATTAATCAACTACAAAATAAATAAGCAAACAAATAAATATTGAATAACGTGATTTGTGTGTTGGATAACAGCCCCCACCCCCCTCCGAAAACAAGTTAAAAGTTATAAGAGATTACGCAGCATAGTGTAGCATTTATAAGTGTATACAGAAATGAACGAACTAAAAATAAAACAAGCAAAAATGGGGATAAGAGAAGAGGAAGTAGTGAGATCAAGTAGAATAAAAGCTAAACAACGGGAAGTGTGTAGTCATAGCAATAAAAGGACAAACGTATATACTAGAGAAACAAACAATCAATTCACAATTATTTGAAATAATCAACTATAGAATATGTTTATATAATATAAAGGGCAATAAGAGAAAAGGACTATTATTGCTAATCTGATTTTTGTACAATATTTTTTAAAAAAAATAAAGTAGATTATGTATAGATTATTAAGTTTTATTTCTAATAGTATTATGATCAATTCTTATAGGTTAGTTGTAGGTGTAATTTCATCAAACATCTAGAAACTTAAATTATTTTACACTAATTTGTCATAGTAGAAAACAATTTATTTGTAAATCATAGAGGATGAATATACTATTCAAAAGTCTACATTGTATAACTTTGGAGATGTAAAACATGATCATATGAAAGCAAAAAAAGAAAAAAAACATACGCGAGTTGTAAGCATTTGGTCACAGCTATTTTCAAAGTATTTACACTAAGTGAGTAAGATGAAGAGATTAAGAGCAGTGTGATAAATAACAAATGTAACTTATTTATTATTTGTGTATCAATGCCAGTGGTACTCTTAATATCAACTTTCCCAAAACTGAAATAGACGATATAAGATTTGAACTGAAAACTATTTGATTGAGGAACACCATTGGGTCAAATATTTATAGCGTGTATTACGCATAAGTAACCTTTCCGTACCCTAATATGGAGCGTAGGTTGGAATATTGCTGTATCTTCCAGTCTGTAACGATTAAAAAGTATGTCGTGATACTATTCACCAGTAGGTCCCTTTATGCTAACTGACAAAAACACAGATTTACATAATTAGAATTTTATCAGACTTTATATATATATATATATATATATATATATATATATATGCATGTGTATAGTTGTATTCCCATGAGATTAGTTTTGTGATTATATTAGAGAAAAATAATTTGAAATATTTGTTCCGTTTAGTAAAAAATTTTACAAAAAGAAGAAGACGAAGAAGAAGTATTTTCCACATTCAGTAGTTACTGTTGTCCTAGTAACATATTTAATACAATCTTTATTTCATTTATCCATCTTCTTTCTGTTCATTTGTTGAACCATCACGTTTATTTATAAAATTAATAGAAGCTCGCTGAGAAATTAATTTTATTCTAACAAAAAGAATGGAATTTTTGCTAAGTCAAATGAATTTAGGCTTCCGTTAAAGTGTGCATAAACGTTTACTAATGGATATCATTAAATAAGTCAGGATAGTGTAATATAATAAGATTTACAACAGGTAATGAACAAGTTAGGTGACTAAAAAAGGCGATTAGCAAAAATTTGTGCTGGATCAAGGGTTCCATGTGATGATTTAAAATAGTATGATGAATTAAAATAGTATGTGTTATAATTAAACAGGTGGACAACTGTAATGATTGAATGTGGATAGGCTTATAAGAATCCAACTCAATGATTACGAACAGTGGTAGGTAGCACAACCAAGAGAGATGGAAAAGACAGCAGCAATAGGTAACAGTAGACAACTGTTCCGACTTATCAAGGAAACTGGTACTAGGAATCCATCTGTTAATGAATCCATCTCGCATCATTCATTTTCAACCCAGGAGATTGGATCAATGAGCAGAACACTTCATGGATCAATTCAACTCGCATTCAGCCACACTTCGGTTGCCCACGATCTCCAGTCAACCTGAGTGGCTAATTGATGTAAGTCGTCCGACTCTTAATGAAGTTAAAAAAGAAGCTATAGGAAATCAGAAGCGAGAAAGAGCAGCAGGGCCTGACAGGCTTAACCTACATATTCTTAAGGACGGGGATCCAATTTTTCGAAGTTAGATTAACTGAGATCTTAGGTAGAATTTGGGGTTTGGGTGTAACCCTATCTGATGGTCTCAATCACTGATCGTCCCAGTCTAAGAAAGGAAAAACGTCCTCTTGCGACATGCACAGAGGAATCGGTTGGACTAATATAGTGTCTGATGTACGTACGAACGAAGTTCTACGTTGAAGCCGACTGACTGGATACAGATAGAAGAGATCGACTGTCGAAAACAATCTTAAAATATTTCTTTATTTTTGGTTCTTTGAACCGTTTTGCTTATGTAACGGACTAGGATCGATCAAATAGTCCGTACATATGAATTAAAATATTCTGAAGCACTGCAAATTGAATTAAAATAAGAATATGCGTTGCAGAAATCAGTAGTTATTTGGACTAAACAGTTAAGTGAACAGCTTGTTATGCGTTTGAACTGAAAGGTCACGAATTCGAGTTCCAGTGTGAACTTTGATGCTAGAGTGTACCTATGTCCACTAAACAAGTCCCGAATAGGAAGAAATGAGCACCCTGAATCCCCCTGCCATCTACTGTCCGACTCTGTTTAAAACGCTGGTAACTTATGATTTGTTATATATTAGTCTGTACGTACGTTAGAAAGATACTTATTTTAATGTTACACAGCTGGAACTGAAAACGATAAGAATAAAAGTAGTAAACTAGGGTCAAAGAGCGAAGTCATAAAAATGACTACTCTACAGTGTGACGTCAGTAAGGTTTTCCTTATAAACAAATACTTTTACCAGCAATGTTGTCTTTTCACAACTGAAAAGGTTAGAAAAACGTTAGCTCTAAAAACAAAATGACTTGTCTTACACCGAGATTTCCTGAAACCGGCAATAAAGTCTGAAAAGTTCCGAGCTGTCGAGTCAAGAATTGTTTACATGAACTCTGTGTCTCGTCAAACTCAAGTAGTCGTCTCGTGTGCACTGCGGTTACACTACAACGCCTACAAGAGATTACCATTCCAGTTCCATTTTCAAGCACCTCAGGATAAAGTATTCTGCTACGATATATATATATATATATATATATATATATAAAACTAAGCAAACCGAAAAATACAACAGCAACTTACTTAACTCCGCTAAAACAACACCAGAAGCAGGTGGTGCAGGCCAATCATAACGTTCGATTGGAGCTGGTGTACTTTTATCACGTTCTTGTCCAGCCGGTAAACAAGCCAATTTACGTGTTTCCAATGTAATATCACGATCATTTAATGAAATTGGACCAGATTGACTAAAACCATTCATGTAGATTCGATGTGATTTCGATGCTAATTGATTTTTATGTTCATTATCGATGTTATCATTATAATCATAATTATTAGTGTTATTGTCATTTGTGGGATTAAATAAGACTCTAGTGATTTTTTTTGTTGATACTGTTGTTGATAATGATGATTTATCAGTTTCAAGTTTATTTTCATGTAAATTAAAAGTTGACGATGCAAAAGGTTTATTTAGAGAACGTGATGTGATAATATTGGGATTATAATTGTTAGAAGTTGTAATAACACTAGCCGTGTTAGTTGAACGTGGTGTATTTATATTATTTGTGTTAGTGTTATACAATGGGGAAATGACACTGCTAACTGAACGACCAAATAACGTTACGTAGGATTTTGAACCAGGCGGTAGGAAACGACTTTTACCACCTAAAATATATAAATAAATTTAAAATATTGAATAGTTTTTGGTATTGAGCAAATAAAACATCGTTTCTCCACTACTATTTTTTGTCATAGCTAAGTATCCATTAGGAAACTTTAGTCATATCATTTGTTATTGCCTACAATTTTGATATGATGCATAAAACTGGAACCAATGGTGTACTTCACTTAGATCAGTCATAAATATACCGAATTCAAAGTTTTACTAATTTCATTCTGTTAAATTATTTGTAACATTATCAGAATGAAGAAAATTTGAGTCGAAGAATTTTAAAATCAGAAGTTACAATTACTAAGTTGTAATGCTATAGACACAAATGACTATAGTCAGTATAAATCATCGAATGTTAAATTTTTAAAAAAAATTATAAAACTGATTTAACTCCGATGAAAAATTACTATTTAGAATCGATAGATTGTAGTTTACAGTAGATTCTCTATATCCTATTTAAAATTCATCATAGCTACAGGTAGGTACCTGCACAGTGACTTGAATTCACAATTTATTGTTTTGAAATGTTAACTCATTATCCACTAAGTTGCTGAATTTAAATACCAACTAATTCATTCAACAAATATGATATTTATATTACTGTGAAAATAAACTTTAAATTATCTCGTTAATAATATGGCTAACTGTATTTTGATTAGACTTTGATTGTTTAAGGTGTGTCCCCTGTATGGATTATTACAAAGTAATCATTTTGTCACACGTTATTTAGAATCAAGTGATTGTCATTAACAATGGAATGACTAGGCTAATAAAAGGTGTATCTTTAATTTTATGAGAAGTGATGTTGTCCATAGAGTTAAACCTTGTGAGCTATATTCATATTACCATTGAGAGATTCGATGCTTAACTGACCTAAATTAAGGTTTAAGTGTTTACATTAATCGAACAAAATAACGAAACATCACTGACAAATAATGATAATAACAGAATCCCATCAGCACTAAAGAAATAAATATGACATTGGTTAAAATTGAATGACTAATTAATATATAAACCTCAGTCACATATGGGAGTAGTCGACTACCAAGTAGCTCAGAGCTTAAGTCTCAGATTGTGAAGTTAAGAAAGAAATCAGTAACTTCAAGACTGGACTCATGTCTTGTTGTGAGTTACTAGTGTGAAGCTTTGATTCACGAATTCTTACCAGCTGTCGTCAGCCAACACTTAATAATAGGCATTAAACAATATGATTAAGAAAACTCGGAGGTCAGAATCAGATTCAAAAAGTTTTACATTATTTGATCTACCTAGTTTTAACTGGATTTCATTACAATTTTAGATGAGAGCGTCAGTATAAACTTTGGAAAAAAATGTACATTTATAAACAGTAAACAATAAAGTCGCATCTCAAATAAACTGATTATATCAATGATAGATGAAAAAATTCCAATAAACCCTTTAAAATGATAAAGTGTTTGTAATTCACAATGAGAATTTTAGAGGTGCTTTGTTCTCCGAACTGAATGGTTTAATCGTGAAGCGTTCATTGCCTTTTTAGATAATGTCTCATCAGAGTATGCATTGAAAAGAAATAAGCTATTAGAAAATTTCTTGATAACTTGTCCTGTTGATGTGGAATTTGCTGTGTGACTGTTGTTTGTATTGATTTTAGTGTTTTCGAATGAGATAAAGAGAGTTTCACAATTATAACTAAGTCATTCAGCCAGTTAACTTTCAAAAAACACAATACACCTTCCAAATGAAACATTACAAATGCTATAGAAAATCAAAGTTCTGTCAAAATTAACAATTCAAATTATTTTTAAAAAAAAAAAGTGTCAACACTATTGATAAAGAAAAACAAACAAACAAAATAAAGTCAATTAAAGATCATTAGAAACTTTAATGAATACAATATATTTATGTTTTTGATCAATCAGTTTGTTAATGATTGTCATATAATCATTAGAAAATTGTCTTAGTGTCAGTTTGATGAAATAACCAATTTATTGATATTAAATATACATACCTATATATATATATATATATATATATATATATATATATATATATATATTGAATTTTTGTTTTATTTATTTTAAAAAAGAAAAACAGCTCAATATTACACAATTTATAATCATTGAGAGAAAAATCCAAAACATTTATGTGACATGTGTTCTTTTTTTAGAGAGTGAAGAAACACAAAATAACGCCATATAGACATATTTAAATCATTTAATTTTTACATATTATCAAGAAGAAAAAAAAATCAAATCACTTAATTTGTTTTGCATTAGAAAGGTGATCAAACTGAAAAAAAAGATTTTATTAATAGCAATTTCAAAAAAACTAGCAAAAAAACAATTCCATTGTTTAATAATAGTCAATTATACAGTGGAATTACAAATAATACAAAATGAAACAACATTAAAGAAGAAAAAGATAAAAACAGGAAAGAATCATTTCAGAATACTTTCTCTTTCTCTCTTCATAGTAGTTGGATCAAGCATGCATATGCATTCAGAAGATTTTGTGATTCATCACGGTTAGATAGTACTTACATCTCAGAGTTAAAGTTCAAACTAAGACGCGTACCCAGTGTACATTTACGCTTCAAACACCTAACGTGTCAATTATTGTGCAGCTGAGTTTAGAAACTTACTATTTAATAGCCTCATCAGAAATAAGAAGAGAGGGAACCGAACTTGTTGATTATTGGTTGGAAGTTGAACACTTTGACTAATTAGCTAACTTTCCACAAGTTATGAACTTTGTTATCAGAAAAGTTTTAAGAAATTTACAAACACAGTCTTGATTTAATTATTAAAATTGATGACTGAGATTAAAACACATTATAAACATTCAGAAAAATTTGTTAAATTCATTATTTTATGACAATACCTTAAAAGTAGGAGCTACTTAAACATTCTTTTGATATGTAGAAAATTCAATCACCGTTAAAGTTAAGAATCACTTAAGCACTTTGCTAATCTTATTAATTAGTTCGGAAAGATTTAGAAATAAGAGTTTTTCCAAGTAAATACCAAATGTAATGTCCTTATCAATTATCCTTATCACAAAACATATTTTGTTAAATAAATACTTGAATTAAACTAATTACAGATTTATTTTCGAGAATATTTTGGATATATCGGTTGTAACCATCTGAACAGTGAATATGCGATCAGGAACTCCTAGAGGTCATATACTCTTAAGCTTTTACTAATGCTGAATGTTGATGATCATCCCTACTGTTGGGAATGTTAGATCCCCAGAACTCACTTGAAAAAGGTCCTAATTTTGGATTCTCTGTTTTAGCGCAAAGGCTGATCAGTTGACCCTGAGATTACATTACCCACCCAGAAAATCCTGGACTGTTATTGGTTGATGTATTATTTTAGTACGCTATTTTGAAGGCTCTCTCAAGGGCGTTTCTATGATGTATAGATAAACTCGATTTATGTGCTTGTGAACCTCGATTTTCTGGGTGCTTGTAGAATACACTTTCTACGCCATATCAAAACTTTTTCCTCTACTCAGTGGGGCCTTGTGACGCTCGGATTAGAGTAGCCTATCGAGTCACTGGATCATTTGTTTTCGCTCTCGTTTACCGACTAAGGTGAACTCAAGCATATCAATTGACGATTATATCACCTGCCTTGCGCCTATTACTTGCAGTCTTCACATCCACCAATAAAACAGATGAGCCAATAAAAAATAACTGCTATTATTATGATTAACTATATTTAGAAGTAGCTCTTAACATTTCAAGATTTTTCTGATAATCACTTTTTTAAGCTTCAGTTAAAATATAGTAGGATAACTTATGTATTTATTGGATCGATCACACAAGGAATAACATTCCATTAGGAAGTGTTAGCTCCCTAAGCACTACAAGTACACCTAAAGCTGTCCAAATAGCTCGGTGGGAAGGTTTCACACAATGAAACTGGGTGCCGCTGGTCTAAATCTCACAGAGGACATTAGCTCTTTAAAGATAGGCCTTACTGATAAATACTGACATGAAAATCCTAGGTTCAGGATACCTTATCTACTACCTCCGAACACCTAATATTAAAGCATAGTATACTTAGTCTTTGTCGAATCCATTATATTTATAGACTTATTGCAACTTGATCAATAGAATTGGGTCAGCACCAATAAATCGATAAACATATCATTGACTAATTCTCAATGATCAATTAGTGAGATTGACTATTATTTAGTTATTAAAAAGGATTTGTGTAAATATATATATATATATATATATATATATATATATATATATATATATAATCATGTAAATCATAAAACTGACCATCAGGTAAATGGAATTGTCGTAGTTTTGACGAATTATTTAAAGTTGTGGTGGAAACATTACGTTTATATCGATCATTATTCGGTATGGGGATCTGATCAGTCAGTTGCATGTACGATTGATTTAAATATCGACCATAGTTAGAGCTTGGTACTCGTCCGGATAAACTCTAAAGTGAACACCAAATAAATAAAATATTATGAACTATGATCATAACATTTTAACAGAACGGATTTAAGCAAATCAAAAGAGTTGAATTGAATTTAGATAAATGATTTGCAAACTAAATATCTCAAGTCCAAGAATGAGTTTAGTACTGAGGTTATTCGCAGCATCCTAACTAGATATACCTTACTGATTCGTAAAGCTATAAATTTCCATCACCTTAGTCGAATAGGATGCATACTTACTCATCGCTTATATCAACACAAAATGTTAGGTTTGCAAGGAATATTTTCGGAAAAGACTAGATACAATAATACGAAGTCGTGCAACAAGTAAATTTGATTGCCGATTTTCTCCAACTATCTAGAAGTAAATTATAGTCGGGCAGGTGATAATTAATACTATTTAACGAAAGTAATTTTTGATTTCTTTATTTACCTCTCTTATGAATTACCACGTCATTAAGAGAAATAGTTTTAATTCAATAATGCTTTAACCTCACATTTTGTCTATAATTTTAAATATCGTGGTTTGTTTAATGTTCCAGTCACTTTTATCACTATCTAATCATATAGTTGAATGAAATAAAGCATAATGAACAATCACTTTGAATAGATAAGAAAGCAGTTACTATTATTGAATTTTTGTTTAATATACACTTTTTTCCTGTAAATATACATCATGTTATATTCAAATGAATTGAATATTTGGGCAAGTAACACTGGGCAGATACACTGAACAAATAATTGAACAGAAGTTGAATTTGTCAAAAATTTCTAGCATCTTTTAAAATTTAAAACATAAGAGAAAAATCTACACGTACATATATTTGCATATTATGACTAGAGATAAACTATGTTTTTAATGAAGATTTAGTTGTTAAACGGCATGAAAATTTGAACTTTCTAGCGCTTTTAAAACTTGTTATCAACTTTTTACTATGCTTCTGATGTTTGAAATTCCGTTGTAATAAGTGGGTTAGTCAGTTAGCCATTCAGTTACAAGTTACGTAGAACATGCTATTCATGTACATAGGTTTAAGTTACTACTCTATGTCAGTACAGTCAAAATGTCAAAACAACTGACAGAGTAGTAAAAGTAGCAGAAATCTTATTTTTAGTGGACGATATTAAACCCTGACTGTGTGTTATTTCGGAAAGAAAGTATGAATTATCAGAGGAAAAACTATAGGATAACTTTAGAACTCAGGATCGAAGCAAAAAAGAGAGTAAATTCACATGTGCCATTACGACAAATTCTAAGTCGTATCAACTAACTTTTTCGTCACCTGCTACAATACTTGTGCAGACTACAACTAGTCTACACCTACTAAAATAGCTCAGAAGAATGAATAACAAATTTATGAACTGGTCTCTTATTTTAGATTGGCTTGGCTTGATTTGAAATTACTCATGCAACAGCAAACATAGTTCCCTGATGCAGTAGTTGGCTGGACATGCACATTGTGCATATCCTAACCACATCAGTCTATGAAGATTCATTATCTCATCGATCGATTTGCCATCTCTAACTAGTACCCTGGATTTGACCTCAAGATTGCTCGCTCAGTCGTCTTAACATTCGTGAGTGAACTAATACATGGAACCTAGGTTCGTGGTTTTCAACCAATCACATTTAGTGAATTAAGGACAAAAAGTGAACACAATATATAGTTACTTAGATAGATGACCATGCTGCAACTAGATCGATTAGATTCTACTAATCCTAAGGGGATAAAACAGATGTGATACTGTCAGTTCATGTTTAAAAATACGTAAACAATCAATAAGAAGGAGAAAAAGGGGATTTTTAATTTAGAAAGGGATAAAGGGTATGAATAGATAGAGTATATACATATGTGTATTTAGGCTGAGAAATACGATTGAAGCATATTACAAGTTTAAAGGTTATATTTGTACTCCAGTGATGAATTTCTGACTGTACGAACTAAGAATTAGTAAACATTTAAGGGAACCTCAGATATTTTATTAAAACTACCGACAGTTCACTTAGCGTGGTTTACTTTGAAAATAACTATTCAAAAACTTACATGTCTAGACAAATGGAAAGACAAAGTGTGGGACTTTTCCTGACGTATATTAGTTTTATCTTGCTCAGAGTGTCCATTGGATGAATGTCTTAAGTTTGACTCCTCCAAATTGGTTGACTAGAAAATTGTAGAGAAAAATAAATTTGAACAAACTCGAAATTTCAACAGAACCGAAAACATAACTTACTGTGAAAGGAGCCGAACAACTATTTACTATCACACATGCGTGGCAATATGAATAAACACATCAGAAGAAGAGCATGATATAAATGAGATTCGACATTGAATCACAACTACTTAACAGCTGATTCCAAACAATTAAAATTTCGGATCATTTGCTATATTCATATATTGCCAAAAATATAATTGTTTGATAGTGATAACACAACTCGATAAGAGAATACAAATGGTTATCCTGCATACCCACTAACCAGCGGTTGAATACCCGTGGCTTATATCACTAGGTCTGACTGCAGGTCAGGAAATTCGGGATCCGAACCCTGGAAAACTTGATGGTTCTGATAGCCTGATTGATGTTGGTGTGATCATTTTCGTCAATAGTTAGATAGGTTTTTTGATATGGCTAACAAATAATCTTAATGGAATGAATGCATTCGCTTTAAGTATTTCGTTAAATCATGATTCTCAACATTCTCTTATACATTTTATTGCTCCTATTGATCCATCGTCCTAAATTACATTATCCATACCTAATAGTTATTTTGTACTAGTAACGCTGTTCCTACCTCTGCCGCTCTTACTGAAATTTGTCTAGATAATTTAATGTCATTGTACTTGTATTGTTCAGTAAGTTTAGTCGATGCATATATGCCGGATTGTACGCCGCTGATGAAACACTAATAAAGTGCAAATGAACTGGATTATAGTACTCTAATAGAAATAAGGTTTATTTTACCAGTGTAAATAAATGGACACTGACTTTAAAGTCCTCTTGCGTTGGAGGTTCAAACGACAGCCTTCTATTTTCGAATGAAATCGAGAAATACATCAGATCACTTCATCGTAAGGTTTGTGAAATGAAAGCTTTATCAATGATGATACACTGGTTTTGCAAATTAATGATAAACAGCCAATTAGTTACTTAAATCATACATGTTCAATCGCGAAGAATAGCTACTATGTTTCTGCTTATTAGTATACACAATCTTCTCCATTACTGCTAATACTTCTACTATCTCTACTACAGTGGGACTAGCAAATGAGACTGTGTGTTAATGTGGTATGGCAACCTGAACTTACGTACGTACGTACGAAGTCCTACGTTGTAACTGACTGACTGAGTGATACTACTATATAGAAAAAGGAAAAAAATACTAAAAATTTAGTAAAGAAATTGACAGTGTTGTAAATTTAGTTTACCAGTAGATTAAAAGTTATTCACAAATGAAGCGAATGTTAAATGTGACAGCGAATTCTAAAAATATGAAACTAATACTTATTTTTATAGAAAAATATATGAATAAAAGGTTATTTAATAAAACCTATGACTTACTTCACATAAACGCTCTCCTAGACCAGAATCTGTACCTGCAATTAAAATTAGTACGCGATAAATTGATGCTTTACTTAAGTATCCTCGCTCCTTGGATACATGTAGATCATTTTTCTCAATGACGGGTTTTCGGAGAATAGATCTTGACTTTTGAGGGAGTCCAGCTGAAGAAATGCACGAGATGTTGTTTTGGGGTTGACTTTGCTCTGTTAACTGTTCATGAATATACTGTGATGATGCCATATCACTGGCACTGACACAACCTTCATCATCAGTTACAGACAAAGGTGTCTGAAGGTTCTTTTTTGGAACACCGCCACCAGTCGCAGTACTACATATTTGATCAATGCAAAGCGGACAATAGAATTTTTCCTGCCAAACAGTAACGCGGTCACCAGGAAAGAATGCGACTCTGTTAGATAATTAGAAGCAAACCATCAATTAAGATGCGAATTTACCGAATCACATGGACTAAAACCCACCAAAACGATTTAGTACGAATTCGTAAATATTGTTTTGTTGCACTGAACACGTAACATTTTACTCTTTAAGACAAAATACATCCAAGCTTAAAGTTCAGAAATCGAATTTCTTGAGTATTTAGCTGGTTTACAAATTTATTTACTGGATTTAATTTTACTGGTTGATAAGTTGAACCATAAACTCAAAAAAGGGAGACAGAATTTTAAGCAGAAATGTATGAATTGCTAGAGTGAAAGCAGTCAGTATGTTTAAAGGATGGTTCACTCACTCCAGTTTACTGCTTAGTAACGACGTAAATTTAAGATAGAAATTAAGATCATGGGAAACAAACGGAAAGCCGTTATGAACACCAGTTCTATACAGTGTTTCATATACCTAATTATGAAGTTATCATCCACTACTACAAGCGCAGATTTAATTTAAAACATCGACATGAAACATTAACCAGTACGAAGCCTTACGGTACTTAACTGTATTAAGAGGTAGAATTTTCCTATCATAAGTAAGGACTGAGCTCGAAAGATAATACATTTATACTGAAACGATAAGTTCGTATGTTTAAGTTTCAAAATTAAACGTAACCTAGATTTTGTGGACTACTTATTCTGCCTAAAAAGACTGGCGATGATTAGTTCACTAGTGCTTAATGCGATCACCAGTAGTGCTGTTCACCAAAATCAGGCATAACATGACATTTATCTTATTCAAAATCTATATCATTGTTAGACCGTATGGAAGGACGCTATAAGCAAAGCCAAATTCGATAGACTGTATTAGCGCTGGATCATGAATATCGCCAATCCTGGAGTATTTTAAATCTGCAGACATTTTTCAATTGTTATAGAGGCTGGGCATACAGTTGCGGTAGTATGAACATAGTATCAATAAATAGAGTCAAACGTTTAAGACAAAACATCACAACCTTATGACACGAAAAACGAATGTAGGACCAAGGAAACCAAAACTTACGAACACTCATTACATTTGAAGCAACCCCTATGAAATGAGAAATTCAGAGCTGTCACTACTTCTCCGGTTAGATCCTCAGAACAAATTTTACATTTTGCAACAAAATGGCGCTGATAATCTTCTTGGCAGTAGTAACCACCATCTTTCATAAAGAATCCGCCATGTTCGAGACTTTTGTTACATCCTATTTTTTGTTTAACAAATTCGAAAATTCTCACTTGTGCATTTAAAACAGTCTTTATGAAAATATTTATTTGACACTCGTAAAACGTCTCCGCGGCACTTTCGACGGCAGTTCTCACAATAAATCTTACCTTAATTTCAGGAAAAGTTATAAATTTTAACATCTTATTCCTTACCCATTTCAAACCATCATTCACAAACAATCCACATGAGTGATTTCAAAAATAATATTTAAGTGACCCACAGAAAGTTCACTTCTATGTAAGATGGTAAAACAAATAAATGTGACACGGCAGCATCATAGTCTTTGCTAAAAGACTCAAAAGAAATGACTTAACTTCTTAAGTATAAATATTTTCAAACTGATTTTATGTTTTCAGAACGGCTATATTGGCTTCCTATAGCCAACAATCGATATCTTTTGAAAACTAACTGATATCTTTGTGCTCGCTTCTTGTTCCTTTGGTTCGGTCCCGGATAATTGATAGCATCCAACCGACAGTAGTCTAGCCACTCTACAGCAGTAATTCTAGGCAGTTGGTGTTACGGGAGAAATGAAGACATTTGACTGATTAAAACCTTTATATAAATATCATTAATTTCACTGTGTTTTTGGGTATATTTGTTTTACTTAACTTATGAACTTGTTTGATTTATTATTTTCGGACATTTTGGTTTTTGTTCGCCTTGATGTGGTAATTTTGAGTTTTTGCTCCAGGAACCTATAAAACTGAAGGTTTGTGTAGTTATTATAATTACTGTTGTTAGAACGATATTTTGGTCGACTATTTGTGAATTGCGAATAAACTTCGGTGCCTAACTTCGGAGTTTGGTTATGTTGTTAATTTGGGTTCTTGAATTGCAAATAGATCGACATACTGTACTTCAATAACGGGAAGGAGCAAAACTTGGACGTAACAAAAGTTCCTCAGTTTTTATCTGTTGTCATACATTGGATACGTCTGGACATTTTGGGTCCAATTTATTGGTCGAGTTCGTTTGGATTGATTCACATTTGCTTGGTAACCGATTTTCGAACAAAGGCATACAATGGAAACCAGAAGTAAAAAGCCAAGGGAAAATGACAAAATGGATGGTGAAGATTCTAAAGCTGTTTGTGGTATGTCTGATTTTAATGATGATAAACGTGACGATATTAGTGTTAATAGTAAGTCCCCAGCTCAGTTTAGTTCTTCTAGATTGAGGTTGGATAAGGCATTACTAGTGAAGAAGAATTTGGAAAGGAGACTTGAGTTAGAAAGGCAGCTTAAAATGTTAGATTGATATGGCCGAATTAGAATGTAAGGTCATAGAAAACGATAACCGACTGTCAGTAGACAAATCTGGGGTGGAAAGGTACTTGGATTGTGACATTGCGCGTAATAAGCATTCCGTGGAGGTATTCAACTCCTCAAAATGCGATTGTATTGATAAATTAAAGGCTACGTTACGTACTACGGTTAATAATACGGTTTTGCCTAAGATCGATATGATGTTTTCTGACGGACAACCAAGCCAGTACCACCGCTTCATTAGTCAGTTTACAAGCATTATAGAGAGTAAACTGTCTGACAAGTGCCACTTGTTGTTATATTTGTCATTCTATTGTAAAGGAAAGGCCAGAACGGCTATTGAAGCTTGTATTTCTTTGCCCAGTCACTGGGGTTACAATAGATCTAGACAAATTTTGTATGATCTATTTGGTAAAGAACATCTTGCCGCCCGTAATCTTATTACTGAATTACTTAGCCACAAATCTGTTGAAGGATCCGCTGATGGCCTAACTGACTTCGCAATTAAGCTACGTAATGTATGCATAACATTGGAAGAAACGGGGTATATGTCTGATGTGAATTCTACGGCTAATCTGGAAATAATTGTGTCACGTTTACCCCTAGAATTACAGAATAAATGGGTGGAAGCTGCAGATAGGATCATGATGACCGGTAGGGAGCCGTTCTTTGAAGAATTAGTGATGTTTGTAGAAGAAAGAGATAGGATTGCGCGATCACGTTTTGGTAGATTGGTACATTGTAACTCAAAGTTCCGTAGGAGTAATTATGAAGGCCAAGTTGACAGGAGATCACGCTTTAATGTAGTTGAGAGGGAACCAAGCAACTCATTCAAGGCTTTAAGTTGCGAAATTTGTTTTGGTGATCACAATGAGAAAGACTGTATGAAATTATCAAAAATGAATGTTACAGAGAGGAGGCAGGAAGTGAGAAAGCGTGGTCTATGTTACCTGTGTTTAAGGAAGGGTCACATAGCCAAGTCGTGTAACTCGGACACAAGGTATATATAGCCTCAGATCACCATTTGCTGATCGCCAAAATGAGACAAACTAAAGAAGCACTGGACAACGGGACAGACAACATCACAGAAGTTTAATACGGCCTTTCTTCGGGATACTGTAAAGCTCAACGAATTCAGGATAGCCCTTACCAATAGGTTCCAGGCCTTGCACGATATACTCAATGGAGAGGAAGCAACATTGGAAAACAATTGGAAAGGGATTAGGGAGGCAATCACTTCAACATGTCAGGAGGTCCTTGGTCGCAAGAAGCACCATCACAAGGAATGGATCTCTGTTGATACTCTCGCAAAAATTGAAGAAAGGAGGAACAAGAAGGCAGCAATCAATGTCAGCCGAATAAGAGCAGAGAAAGTTACCGCACAAGCTGCATACACAGAAGCAAACAGGGAAGTGAAGAAGAGCATCAGAGCTGACAAACGAAAATATGTGGAAGATCTAGCAATGACGGCGGAAAAGGCTGCAAGAGACGGAAACTTGAGACAATTGTACGAAACAACAAAGAAGCTCGCCGAAAACTACCGTAAACCAGAACGACCAGTGAAAAGCAAGGAAGGCAAAGTAATCAGCAACACTGAAGAACAGCGAAAAAGGTGGGTAGAGCACTTTCGGGAACTACTGAATCGACCAGCTCCACTGAACCCACCCAACATCGAAGCAGCATCCAAGGACCTCACATCCTCTTCAAGAAGATTTGGGATGATGAACAAGTACCATCAGATTGGAAAGCAGGATACCTGATCAAAATACCAAAGAAAGGCGATCTCAGCAAGTGTGAGAACTACAGAGGCATCACTCTTCTTTCAATACCAGGCAAAGTCCTCAACAGGGTATTGTTAAACAGAATGAAGGACTTCGTAGACGCCAAACTTCGAGATCAACAGGCCGGATTTCGTAAGGATCGATCGTGTACTGACCAAATTGCTACATTACGGATCATTGTGGAACAATCAATTGAATGGAACTCACCACTCTACATCAACTTCATCGACTACGAGAAGGCATTCGATAGCGTGGATAGGAAAACACTGTGGAAGCTTCTTCGACACTACGGTGTGCCTGAGAAAATAGTTAACATCATACGGAATTCTTATGATGGATTCAACTGCAGAATCGTACACGATGGACAGCTAACAGACTCTTTCGAGGTGAAGACCGGTGTCAGGCAAGGTTGCTTACTCTCACCCTTTCTCTTTCTCCTGGTCATCGACTGGATTATGAAGACGTCAACATCTGGAGGGAAGCACGGTATCAACTGGACAGTTAGGACGCAGCTGGACGATCTGGACTTCGCAGATGACCTGGCTCTTCTATCTCACACGCAACAACAAATGCAAGAGAAGACGACCAGTGTAGCAGCAGCCTCTACAGCAGTAGGTCTCAGCATACATAAAGGTAAAAGCAAAATTCTCCGATGCAACACAACATGCAGCAACCAAATCACTCTTGATCGAGATGCCTTGGAGGGCGTTAACAGCTTTACATATCTGGGCAGCATCATCGACAATCATGGTGGATCCGATGCAGATGTGAGGGCACGGATTGGCAAAGCGAGGGCTGCATTTCTACAGTTGAAAAATATCTGGAACTCCAAACAACTTTCATACAAAACCAAAATCAGGATTTTCAATACAAATGTCAAGACAGTTCTACTGTATGGAGCGGAAACATGGAGAACTACCAAAGCCATCATCCAGAGGATACAAGTGTTTATTAACAACTGTCTACGCAAAATACTTCGTATTCGTTGGCCAGACACCATCAGCAACAACGAACTGTGGGAGAGAACAAGTCAGATTCCAGTGGAGGAGGAAATCAGGAAGAAGCGGTGGAAGTGGATAGGACATACACTACGAAAAGCACCCAACTGCGTCACGAGACAAGGCCTCACATGGAACCCTCAAGGCCAAAGGAAAAGAGGAAGGCCAAGGAACACACTACGCCGAGAAATAGAGAAAGGCATGAGAGGAATGAACAAACATTGGACAGAACTGGAGAGGGAAGCCCAGGACAGAGTTGGTTGGAGAAAACTTGTGAGCAGCCTATGCTCCATTGGGGGTAACAGGCGTAAGTAAGTAAGTAAGTAAGTATAGTCAGACTAAAACATAATATTAATTTATCATATGTATACTCCTGACTCTATTAGTGATCCCTTTGAAGCGTTTTAGGTCTATAAGTGAGCTCACGTCATGCTTCATAGTCCAATTTAGTTATTGTGTGTTTCCTACGCCATATGGAATGCCTTATTTAAAAGAGAAGATTGAAATGAATGTCTCGATTTGATTATCAAACCAACTTGTGATGTATACGAACTGTAAGTATGCGTACGATTGTTATTTTGAACCAGAAAAGGACATGCAAGCTAAGATCTTGAGGAGGAATTGAATAAAGATGTCCAGGAAGTTGTAGATGAGAGTTTTTATGTCGACGACTATTCAACTTCAATTGATGATGTTCAGGATGCAATCGACCTTGCAGAAACCCTTGGTTTACTCCTCAGAAAAGGTGGGTTCAGACTTACCAAGTGGATACGTAACTGTTTACAGGTTCTCGAATCAATTCATCCAGAAGAGAGAGCAGAAGCTGTAAAAGAGATTGACTTTGAGAGACTTCCTACGGAACGCACATTGGGATTATTTTGGAATATTATGGTTGATGCGTTTGAATTTAAAGTTTGCATACTGAAATGCCCTCTCACTAGGCGAGGTATATTGTTGAGTGTAGCTTCATTATACGACCCCTTGGGATTGTTATCACCATTCATACTTCCTATGAAGCAGTTACTTCAACGTTTAGGTAAATTGGGACTAGGATGGGACGAAGAGATTCTAAGTGAGGAAAGCAAAGGCTGGTTAGAGATTTTACGTGA